TGCTTTTTTTTAGTTTTTCATTAGTTGTTTTTTTTTTTTTTTTTATAAATAGCAGCAGTCATCCTTGAAAGAGCTTTCAGTTCTGAGGGCAGCTTTGAAAAAAATCTTGCTTTGTTCCAATATGTAACCTGAAGATCCAGGGTAGCGGCATGAGGACATTGGAGAAGCCGCTCAACTGCAGCCGCAGTGTCAGGATGAAATATGTTAAAAGTGCTTTTTGGCAACACTCTGAGAACCTCCAGCTGCTTTATGTTGTTGAAGGACCCTAGGATGCGGCTGATGCTTCTGTGGTGATAACACTGGCTTGAGTTTCTCGTGTGTGTGACCGTTGGGGCGTACAAAGCAACCACGCCGCAGAGTTTTCCACCAGCTCAAGCGCCCCTTCTTTGTGTTGCCTTATTCCCGTGTGTGGTGATACTGGTTGGCAGGACTAAGTGTACCTCTGACAAATGCAGATTTCTTGTGGAGTGAAATTGAAATGTAACCAAAATCCAAGCCCTCACGCATTGTTTGTTTGTGTTCACAGCATGGAGCGTTACGATCCGAGTAAAAACTCGTGGGAGACAGTCGCTTCAATGGCTGATAAACGCATAAACTTTGGTGTCGGTGTCATGCTGGGCTTCATTTTTGTAGTAGGTGGACACAACGGGGTGTCTCACCTGTCGAGCATTGAGAGATACGATCCTCATCAAAACCAGTGGACTGTGTGTCGACCCATGAAGGAACCCAGGACAGGTAGGGACATCCAAAACGCTCAGCGGTGAACTCGGACATCCTTTCAGAAATAAACTGCTGTTCAACCTGAGACAAGCTGCAATGAAGTTGCAGTGAGTTGTCTACGGAGCACTGTGCTTCATCTATGAACGAAGGTCATTTAATCAGCTCTGTGAAAGAATGAGTATTTCTCTATTTTTAATTACAGTCCAGTTTATTAATACTGAGCTGTAACAAAAACCAGATGAAGTAATATTTCTACTCTACCTTCTATTTTTTTCATTGAGTTTGAGGGAGTTTCAGCGATTCTGTGGTTAACCATTCTATTGTATTTGATTTTATGTTGAGATTCAATGGCGCATCCTCTCTTCTGTCTCCCTGACGAGGAGCACTGGGGCAGAAGAGCAGTGCTTTGTCATAGGAAAGGGCCCGAGAACAGTAAAAAAGGAGCATAAGACCTGAACAGAGAGGAACTCTTCATTTACAGCCATTTCCTTTAAAGACAGCCCAAAGAAGGAGAGGCTGTGAGAACTTGTCTGTTCAGCCTTTGGGGTGGGTGTCCAATTCGGAACAAGAATGCTGCTTATTTCCACACTTGGTGATCATGCAATCTTTTTTTTTTTTTTTTTCCGTTCCGACAGGAGTTGGAGCAGCTGTAATTGATAACTACCTTTATGTAGTTGGAGGTCATTCAGGCTCATCCTACCTGAACACCGTACAGAAATACGATCCCATCTCAGATACCTGGCTGGACTCTGCTGGGATGATGTACTGTCGATGCAATTTTGGCTTGACTGCACTTTGATGACAAGCAGGGCTTTACGGACCTGATGCAAAGACGGAGCTTAAGCTGCTTGAAACTAAAACCTGCTGGTGGAGACCATAAGCTGCGTTTTCTGAAGTGGGAAAGTTGGAGGAATGTGATGGAGCTGGGACTGAAATGAGGAAGGATTTGTTTTCTTCCGGTAATTTGCCTTTCTTACTTTAGTGACGCAGGCAGAAGGAATGGAAAGCTTATTACCAGCTGGGTTTAGATAGCATCCTGTTAATGGCAGTGAATTTTGGAGAGTACTGTACATGCCTGGGATATGATTAGAAAACTTACTGTGTATCTAACCCTTTCACTTTCTAGAGCTTTTCTCTCTTCTTCCTGCCTACTACGAAATAATGAAGTTTACTGTGCTTGGGGTGAGAGATGTGTGAATGTGGTGTACGGCTGGGCGGTTTGCCGGTAGCTGTCTGGTTGCGTCTTCATATTAAGAAAATGCCAGTGCTTCATAATTTTTTTTATGAACAGTAACTAAAGGGCTGCCTTGTTTCTGTATCTCAAGGTTTGTAAATAATAAATGCCATAGTATGTTGCCTGTACGCTCCCCTTTGTTGCCCGCTTAGTGGGTGGGAGGGCTGGGATGGTGATCAGTAACTACTTACATTTACAAGGCAAATTTATTGCCTCTTAACAAAACTTTGGGATCCATTCAAGAGAAATAACATTTTTAACTTCCCCTTACGTTTTCTTTTTGTGGATAAACGAGTGCTAGATTTAAATGACTTAATCCTGATAGTCTGCTGTGTGTTTTCAACTGTAATGCAAGGAAAAATTACAACGGTCGTGCACCGGAAGGCGCCACAGCAGCATTCATAGCATGATATGAAATAAATACCCAAAACCAAATCCATCCCATCCTTCTTCCCAAGCGCACTTGTGTCCATAGTCCGTATAACTTCCTTTTTTAAAAGAATGTATGATTGCTTTCTCAGAGTGTTCAGACACAAAAATGGTGCTAAATGTAGGACTTAACGATAAGGCTGTTACCGATTTTAGTGCAGTATGCATAAAGCATGATTGTTCGTTCTCGTGGGTTTGTTTCTTAATTGCTTGATACATTCGTGCCTATGAAAACCGTCAAGAATAACACAACGTACCGAACGAGCTCCACGTTTGTTACGTCGGTTGGGTTTGGTTTTCCTTTTTTTTGGAAGATGTCCGTGTGTTGTTTGTTATTCTCACAAATAGGGCGTGGATGGCGAGGTCCCGTCTCGGGGTCTGCAGGCAGCCTTGCCTTCAACACAGGTTGCGGTGAGTGAAAAGCGCGGGGCGCGGCCGCTCCTCCCAAGCGTGTCCCCCGTGTGACGGTGCTGCAGGGGGGAGAACTTCGTGAGGGCCCTAAACTTAGTGAAAATTTGGGCAGATAACTAAATAGAAAGCGATGCTGTGGGTTATCACCATTATTTAAAACGGATGACTGAAGAATTACGAATTTTAGCTAGTGTAGAATGTTTTGATTTGTCTTCTGATTTTAACTAGCAGTCGTGGTTACCTTGAATTTCTGTTTTGATGTCTGTATGCTTGTTGCCAGGCCTGGTACTGAAGAATTTTTCTGCCTCCAGCGTTATTTTCCCCTTGTTTTAACACGTTAAATTAATGTTTGTTTCCCCTTGTTTTTCAAGCCCATATAGTATTATTTTTGAAGGTGCAATAACATTTGAAATAGTTGCTTTAAAAGCCATTTCTTTATAAGTACGCGAAGTGGAGGGGTTTGGGTGTGCTTGATTTATTCTAAGTTCCTGCAAAGCTCATTGCAGCCGGGCAAACAGTGGCGTTCCTTGTTCTTCCACACGCTAGCGTTCGGGTTTTAAACCGTCAAGGAGACGAGGGCGTTTTCACCATGAAACGTTGTTCGAAGAGAACAGGTCTTTGCACAGATTATAAAATCCTGCACGTATTCTTCAGAGTTGTTAGAATCAAGCAGGATTTTAAAAGCAAATAAAACTTAATTTCAGTGTTTTCAACGCAGTTGATTTGACCCACTAAGGATTCTAGTTCCATAGCAATAATAGCGTAATTTAATTACTCCAGCGAATCTGTTGGTAGGACGCAAGTAGCTACGTGGCCGTGTTGCATGTTTGTGCGTGGGGAGGCGCGGGCAGGGGCGCAGGTTTGGGGGCCGAGGGAGGCGTTCCAGCCTGTAGCCCAGGTTGCCCTCTCGCTCCGTTCAGGTAGGTGCCCAAGCTGAATGCTTCCCTGCGCCGCTCTGCGTCCCACTCTGTTTCACAAAGACGCCATCGCTCGCCGTGGTTTCCGATATACACCGGAGATAGAGACGCTTAACCAGCTACCGTCAAAATAAAAAAACATCCTTACCTGAAAGAGAGGTTTATGCCTTTTATTGGCAGGAGGCTTTCCACGCAGCCCGGCGTATCCCGTACCTTTGGGAGTTCAACTACGACAGGATTCCGTGAGCGCAGATGCTCACGTACCTGTTCTGATTGATTGGAAGTTTTAGTGAGCGCCGCTTTCCCTTAGTAGAAAGCGGTGCAAGGTATAGAAATCGTTTTGACTTGATCAGAACAAAAAAAAATGCGGTAGGTCGGGGGTGGTGGTGATGGCTATTCAATGTTTCTGTAAACATCTGTCACTTATGGAAGTCGAAGCACTTAAAAAGGCAAAATGTTTTACTCTCTTGGCCTAGGCAGTGGCAATGTTGAATTCGGTCATAGAGACGGACCCCGTGTTGTGTAATGTGCTGGTGCTAAATTCCAGAGAGCAGCATAAACAATTTTTTTTAGTATGCAGGCGTGGTATGAAGAATGGGAAAACCACCGAATATCCTGCTGTCGCTAGATGAAGTGCTTAGCTAGGAACGGATCGAACAGCGCCTCAGCCTAGGGACCGTGTCACTTAAACCGTGCCCGTCCTCGCTTTCTGCTCCCGGTGCTTGCTGGCCTGGTCACTGAAGTGCTTGGTTATAGGGAGATCAGACACACCGGTCAGTTTAAACCTGCGTTTAAAGAACAATACTTGCATCGTGATGTCTGTCTTGCAGTTTAAAAATTAAGGACCTTCAAATCAGATGTCATACAACTATAAATTATCATCCAGTTCTATTTCTTAAATCACTCAAAGTTACCTGTAAAGCACTTTAAAATGGGTATGAGTTTATGTGTGTGCATACAGTTCCTGAATTTCTGCTGCTTTTTTTTTTTTTTTTTTTTTTTTAAGATACTCATCAGTAAGCTTCTTGGCAGTCTCTCCTACTAGGAATGCTTTTCTTTCAGAAGCTCTGCTTGGAATTTCTAGAGGAGCAAGCGTGTCCCGTACGCGTTACAAAGAGTTAACTGCTTCTGGGAGACAGCGTGTTCCTTCTGTGAATTTGCCATCTGTAAGTCCCCATTCACTACATGAAACAATGCAAAATGTCCAAACTTGCCTTAAAGTCTTGATATTTAACTGAAACGCAAAGAACTGGATGATAATTCCTATTTTTTTGCCTTATGCGCTGTGCTGTATTTTAAACCCAAGGAAAACGATAATTTTTAGCAGGATTTAATAATTGTACAGAGAAATACCAAATTGTACTCGGACTTGACCGGAGTGCTTTGGTTGGGAGTATAAAATGATATATGTAGTTTTGTGTATGTAGAGTGTTTTTATGTGTACATCCTTTTCTAGCAGCAACGTTCTGGTTTTGTTATTGTTTACAAAAGTGGCATTTGAGTTCAACGGGAAGAGAACTGTAACCTGCATTCTCGGTCTTTACTGGTGTTCTCAGCGTGTTTGCTCCTGTGACAAAGCTCTGTAAGTATTGTTGTAACTATTTCATTGAATGTGAAAGAATTTAGTAAATAAACCTGGGGGAAAAACTCACTTGTACGCTTTTCATTGGGTGGCGAATGTAAATACGCTGCGGCTTTGGGCTTCTCTGCTCCGGCAGCAGCGTCTTTGCGAGGAGTCATAGAATCATGGAATGGTTTGGGTTGGAAGGGACCCCTAGAGGTCACCTAGTCCAACCCCCCTGCAGGAGCAGGGACACTGCTAACTAGATTAGGAGTCGCTCGGGAGCGGCGATGCCTCAGCCCCGCGAGGCGACGGCTCGGGCTGCGGGGAGCCAGAGCGGGGGGATGCTCGCCCTCGGTGGGGAGGGTTGAGCTGGATGGAAGACCCCAACAACCACGTTACAGGGTCTTTGCCTCATTGGTATTGGAAGCTCCCGTGGAAGAGGGTTCGGGTATGTGACTTGCTGTTTTCCCTGTAGCCGTAGCTACCCTCTCCCTGATGAATCCGTAACCGCCGAAGGAACGCAAACCCGCTGGTTCCTGCTTCCCTTGGCAGGAGAGCACGCTCAAACAAACTGTTCTCTCCCGGCGAAGACCCAGCATCGCTGAGTGATGCTGCAGAAACAGGATCTGTTCAGGGCCAAAGGATTTTGCAGCTGAATTATTTTAGTTTCCCGTTAGAGGGCTCTTCACAGGGGTGTTCCAGGGGGTGGTCTCATTTGGGGCGATGGTTTGCACGGAGTAACAACAGGCACCCCTCCCCGTTAGTGAAACAGGAATTTAAGACTTGGCAGTTGTGAGATTATTTTTTTGCTGGCTTCATCTAAATACAGGCAGAAATGGTTAATTTTTGTACATAGCTCAGGCAGGGATGGGTGTGCTGACCTCACTTTCTTGCTCAAGGCCTGAATTCAACTTCTGGTCGCTGCTGCGGGAGGTGCCACTCGCCACCGGTGCTCAACGTTACTGTCCATAAAACATCCCTAAGCGTGTAATCTGTGAACCCCAGCTAGCAACCACTGCCTCTTACAGTCTCAGCCATGCTGAGGCAAAAGGAAAAGTGATTTTCAGGCAGTTAATGATCAGATCTTTTTTTCTTTTTTTTAATCCCAAAATTTCTTTAATTTACTATTAATACGCTTTCGCAAGCTCCAGCACTGACAGGATCAGAGTACTCAGATTTTAAGACTTGGCATAAAACCTATTATTGCACTGTAAAATAAGATGTATCCAGTCATTTAAAGCATCTTTCCACCGTATTGAACCTTGTCAGAATTAAAAATAGCAACGATGGTGTCTTAATGACTCTGCAAAGTAATTTTTAATGGCTAGAGAACTTGCCAGCTGCCAAACTGCAAACCCCAGGCCTGAATATGTCCTAGCATTTCTGAAATTCTGAAATGCCTTTGGCAAGTGAGAAAAAGATTTGGGAACTCTATCACGCAGTCCTCAGATCGTGTGTGTGCTGGAAGCACACGTTCATCTTCCACGGACAGATTAAAGTGTTTCCAAATGTATCAGCTACAAAAAAAACAGGGAATGGGCAAAACTGGAATAATTTCATTACATGTTGTCTTAAAAATAAGCACTGCAGCAATGAGTTACTCTCCTTTCAACTGTGCTGCAATGACCATCTATCCCAGCTGCTTTGGGTGATCCCAGCATGCAACCACTGAGAAAAACACGTCCCTCAACAAACGGCAAATGGCCAATGTCCCAAATTC